CCCATGATTTATCTTCCTAGATCTAGATCTACCCCTTCTTCTTTTTTAGACGTTGTGCTTATCCTATGAACAGCTCTGTATCCGTGCCTAGTTTCAAAAGCAAACATGTGTGAAGCGCTCAACCGCGCAATGATAGCAGAGTTTCTGTACACTGTTGTAAGCTCTCTGATGATAGTATGCTAATTTTGTGTGTAGGCTCGACCCATAGTGAAAGCCGATATGTCTGATCGTTGTATACAAAGAGGGTTATAACAAACACACACACACACACACGCACACACGCACACACGCACACACACGCACACACACACACACACACACACGCACACACATATACACACACGAACACACACACATACACACAAACGCGAACACACTGACACAGACAACTAATAAATGAATGAAGTGAAGATGTCTGTAGTATATTAAAGTTTGCGCTATGTCCCTACACACTTTACTACCTGCATTATCATCGTCCGTGAGTCAGTGTGTGCGTATGTGTGTCGCATCGGGTTACTATTCTCATCTCGATCTCCTTACATCAACTCAGTCGTTCATCTCCTCTTTTTTGACACCACATAGATTTTTGTGTCCTTTTAAGACAGCAAGTACATAAAATCTCGGAAGTGGAGGAAGGACCTTACCTGTTACATGGGACGCAAAAGACATTTTCTCTCACACGGGAACGTAGTTTTTAAAAAAAGAGACCCATGAAAGCTTCGTCGTCGAAAAGCAGCTTGACAACCTGACGTCGTTTATTTTGTAGTGACGGGAGTACAGGTAATAAATCTTGCACAAATCTACGTCCGGCTAACAAACAAAACAAAAACAAAAAAAAAGAAGGAAGGAAGGAAGGAACAAGTTGGCGTTGGCTTTAGCTTTGTTTGCTTTCATTATCGTTCTACGCGGAACGCAGTGAAGCGACTGTGTACGCCATAAAAGAAAAAAAAACAGAAGAGGAAAAAAGACCTTGCTTTCTGGTTTGTGACGCAATAAGGCTTTGATTTAGATATTTCAACGAAGAGTTTTTGAGAGGTTAAAATGTGCCGTCATGTCGTTTATTTATCTGCTTTATGTATATATATTTTTTTGTCCCTTGCCCATTTCTATGATAATGACGCCATCTGATTAGTAGAAAAATGTGCTTTATGTATATTAATTTGTTTATGTTTCACTCTATATCCTGCAATTCCGAGTTTGGTTGCATTTTCTCTTGTTTCCCTTTCCTTTCTTTTTATATTAGAAACGGAAACTGCTTAAGACGCTTTCAAAGAAAATGTTGCATATTGGACATAAAAGTACTAATATAACCATTTCAGTAGTGATTATGCCCTACAGTGCGATGCAGGATCACGCCTACTAATCTACGCTGCCCGCTTTCTTGTGGCCCAAATTGTATCGATGAAGGCAAAAAACATTGACATTTACAATCAAGCGAAAAACAAAATATATCAGGATACATGGTCACACGTCGTTCATGACGAACATGGCAATTTGTACTCCCACACCATATTAAATATTATTACAATTATTGTCATTGCGCAGGGACCGGCCGTCGTAAACTAGCACACTTCTGAGAGACTGGCTGACCCATACCATGATTATGAGCAAAAGTTTATGTATGTGTATCAGATTATGTCAGGGTGCACCGTTAGCTTAGAGGGGATGACCCAGGTTCGACTATGAAATGGTTTACATACAGTTATGAGGGACTTCAATCTCTTAGAAAACACACACACACACACACACACACACACACACACACACACACACACACACACACACACACACACACAGACACACACACACACACATATTTATATATATATATATATACAAAAAAAACACACACATACAGACGAAAACAAAACAAACACAGAAAACCCTTTGATGTATATTTTTGTTCAAATACGTAACCTTTTTCAATTTGTGACTTCTCCCAGAGCCATAAGCCGCCTCTGAAACTACAACAGCCACCTAACGACGAGCCAGCTTCCCGTTCGAGCTCCGTCACTTCCGTTGCTGACGTCATCAAATCACGTGACTCCAGCATGGTGGTGGCAGTAGACAAAGTGACCGAGGCAGTGGTAATCGCCCCTACGCCAGCCTACACGCAGACCTCAGTGTACTCACAGCTACAGTTTGCGGACTACAAGTACGTTGGTTTGAGTTAGGTTTTGAGTTTGAGTGAAAAGTGGGACATCGAGAGAATGCCGGTTATTTAGTGCTGGGAAAGGTTAAGACAAGTAGACAGACTCGAGCAAGGTGTTTTAACCCCCCCCCCCAAAAAAAAAGAAACAAAGAACAAAAACAAAACAGAAATCGACACAAATTAGATCATTTAGATCGTTCGTCCATTGGAGCAGAAACCAACCAACCCCTTGTTGTCTGTTTCGTCGGAAAGGAGCGCCGGTTTTTTCCCTAAGGCACCATTGAAAATTCCGGGTGGTGGGCTTCCGACTCTGCCTGTCGGGGCCAACCCAGGATGAGAGAGATACAGCATCCCACATGAAAGACCGAGATACTCGATAACTGTTTTCTCCCCACTCGAGAATCGAACTCTGGTTGTCTTAATTAATAAAGGAAAACTGTTGTCAGTATAACAATTCAAGAATGACTTCACTTCGTAGATGGCTTTTCAGTGCCTTGAAGGCAAGGGATTATAATATGAAACTACAAGTTAATAGAAGATTCACTTTACTTTTTCCGGCCTCTGTAATCTTGCGGTGCTGAGGGGAGGGCCAAACGTCTTCCTCTTGTTTGTTGCACGGTTATACTGTTTTTTCCCTTATTGTTTCTCGGACCCACTCTGCCCATCTTTTCCTGAGCCTGCCTCTTTCTCTGTATCCATCCAGATCACTGGTTGCTTTGTTTCTCTCCCTCTCTTTTCTCTCTCTTTCTCTCTCTCTCTCCCTCTCTCTCTCTCTCACTATCTCTCTCCCCCCCCTCTCTCTCTCTCTCTCTCTCTCTCTCTCTGTCTATCTATCTATCTATCTCTATCTCTCTCTGTCTCTCATCCTTCGTTTTTTTGTTGTTGCTCCCAGGCGGTACCGTGAAGAAGTCCACTTGAAGCCCCTCTTGTCTCCGGTCAAGTACTCGGACACACACTACCTGTACATCAACAGCACCCGCAAACGTTTCGTAAGCCGGACCTTCTACGAACCTCGCGTCAAAGCCAGGGGCTTCGCGGAGACCACTTTCACCTGCCCGAAAACGAAACAAGAAAACTTTGTGAGCTATCTGGACCACAACGTGGACGCTCAGCGCAAATGGTTCAAAACGGCCGTCGAAATCAAGGCCCGTCGTTTCCGATCTGCGCAGGTGATCCCAGCCCCGATAGACATCAACAGCAACTCGCTCACAGCAGTGGATCAAACTAGGTTGGAACAGCAACGACTCAACTTTCCGAATGATTCATCATCAGAAAGAGGTAATGGTGGCGTAGAAAATGGCGTGGGCGAGCGCTTCCAGGAAATCTTTGACCCAGGAGCGTCGCAGGTGTTTATTCCGAAAAGGCGTGAAACTGTGGACGGGCAGCAAGCTCTGTTGAACGGGGGAATCGTTCTTGATTTTCCCAATGGTGGAGTTGACTTACAACACCGTAATGGACATTTATTAGACTTTTCGGATGTGTAGTGTAGTTCTACAATTGTTTCTTTTTAAAAATAAAAACCAGGTTGTTTCTACGCACTACTCTAACAAATGTCTCTTTTAAAAAGTAAAACAGACGCAGTGCTCTTCATTTTTATGTGAAATTAACTCACCTCTCTCCACATTCTGGCAGCCTTCTCTTTTCTTTTGATGTTTCAGTTTCGAGTTTGGTCAAAATTAGAAAGATGGCTGTTCCGAAATATTGTTTACTTGGTGATTATAAGCAGCAGTCAACCCAAAAGTACAACTCATGCTAAAGAGACTATCTGTCCCAGAATAAAATGATCATCCTGCCTGTAAATAATTTACACCCACTTTGAAACGATTTAGATCAGGTAGTGAGCGGTTCCTTTTGACCTTGCCTGTTAGGAACAGTCTTGTCTTTTTTTGGTCATTGTTACTCCCTTGTCATTCATCTAATCGTCGGCTCGAACATGATCCAATTGTATAGCAAGTGCCTAAAACCTCTTGCTAAAACATACAAAAATCTGAGTCCCACACTTTAGGTACGCCAATTGTGTCTGCAAATAGCCCTCCCTTCCTTTCCACTACTGACGTTCGTTCACAAGAAGCGTCCGAGCAATATCTCAGAGGATATTCAGCTTCAACAGCCTGTAGTTTCTCAAAGTCCTCCGTCTTATTCTTGGTCTTCCTATCTTTCTTTTTCCTTTTGTATTCGTTAACGATTTTTCTTGTTGATTCCTAAAGCACAAGAATGAACCATTCCGATATGAGACTGCAAATCCTTGACAATAAATACTGCCCAGTTACTTGAAATATTGTAACCCTAATAATAATTGACTATGATGCATACGCAGTTTGGGTTCGATTTCTTGCAAGCAAAGGTCTGTCGTGAATATGCTCTGCCAGGTGGGTTATAGCCTTTTACGTTTACTCTTTTAAAAAAGGGTCTTACTTTGTTAATCCTTTCATAACGTGTATGTGCTGTGTTTCAAGAATCTTGGTATTCTGCTCCAGTACGTCAAAGTATACTGGGACAGGGTGGTCAGTTCACGGTCTGAATCTAATAATGATAAGACTGAAAAGAAATTCTGAATCTTTTAGCAATTCTTCAGGGAAGGACATATTAAGTTATCTGCTACTGTCGTTTCGTTCTTGTTGTTTTCTTTTCTGATCAGAACTCCTAGATGTAGCCACCGTGTAATACCCCCTGTGAAAGCAATTGAAAGCAATTTCTTTATCATCATTATTGTCTTTCTCACCTTGGATCAGGGTACATACCACAGACGAACACTTCACATTGCACCCTATCTTGGACTACCTCTCGACATTCCCATGTCTTTCCACTTTTCGGACTGTGAAAATGACCATCAATAATTTATTTATAGAGGCACCAGCCAGGACTGTGAAAATGACCTTCCATAATTAGTTTATAGATGCACCAGCCATCCATGTTTAAGTGCTGTTTTAGCCTTACTGCTAGAACGACATCCCTTTTTAAGTAATAGGCCGACCTTAGAGAAGTGTTAAGTGTAGAAACAGGGTCATTATCATGTACTTTTGTCTAGCATTCGAAACCAGTGCGGATTAAACTCCCCCCCCAAAAAACCCCCAAAATATTTCAATGCTAGAAAGCAAACGAATAGCCGTTGATTTATAACTATTTCAGTGACTTACATTTTTCAATAATTCTTATTTGTTCCGCGGGTGAGCCAAATGGAGCTATAATAGTTTCTTTTTGCTTTTAACTTGATTTTCTTAGGTAATTGAAAAACAAATGGGGGAGGGGGGGCGTTTTGGTATTCATATATCCTTCTATACTTCTGCCCATTTTTAGAGTGAATTAGAGAGTGTCCTAACGTAAACCATAGCGTTCTTGCTCCTTAACTAAATCTGCGTTATCTTTGCACTAGATATATTGTATTGTTATTTTTTTCTTCACCTTACGGGGACTGCTAACATATCACAGCAAGTATGAAATTTTCGTCCTTTTCTTCCATTCTCTCCGTCCAACTCTTGTCCTTATTTTTCTTCTCTGTGTTTCCATCCTAAATCTTCTTGAGAGTGGTTTAGTCATTCTACTATGCAGCAACTCTTATAGAGTAAAAAAAATAATATATAGCATTGTACCATGCTGTGTGTGTTTGTGTGTGTGTGTGTGTGTGTGTGTGTGTGTGTGTGTGTGTGTGTGTGTGTGTGTGTGTGTGGACGGGTGTGTGTGTGTGTGGATGTGTTCGTGTGGTGGAGGGGGTGAGTGGGTGGGTGTGCGTATGTAGGTGTTATTTTAGTTATTCCCATGAAATGGGCAGCTATGGTTACTGATCCCCAAAATTTAAAATACCGTGTTCATGGTTGTGTATCTATGTTTCCTGGGCAACAAACCCTTTTGGTACTTATTTTCGCTGTGAATCGAGTATTTATTCAATTTTGTAGCAGAAAATCCGTAACTAATAGATAATAGCAGGAGCTTTAACGCTTTTGGGGGCTCTAGCATGTGCTTGTGAGCTTTGTAATTCACGCCATGTACAATAATGACCATTCTTTATGTTTTTCGGTCTACGTTATATGTCTTCCTTCCTTCCTTCCTTCCTTCCTTCCTTCCTTCCTTCCTTCCTTCCTTGCTTCCTTCCTTCCTTACTTCCTTCCTTCCTTCTTCCTTCCTTCCTTCCTTCCTTCCTTCCTTCCTTCATCTCTCTCTTCCTTCCTCACTTCCTTCCTCCTTTCCTTCGATTTTGTCGTTTTTATTTTAACAACTCCGTTTTGCAGTGCAGCTTCCTTTCTCATCCCTGGTGGTACGCTGTTAGCTTCATGGATTTCAGTACAGGGTTCGTTTCCCAAAGCAGGTGTTCTTGAACTTGAATTATTTTGGGGAGATTTCAAGTTACATGTGATTGAATCATGTCGTATCGGAGATGGACTTTAAATTTGGCAGTTCCTCTATTTATTTAACGTTTCAGAGTAGAAATAAACGTTTAAATCATGCCATGCTGAGCCGAACTTCGTTACAGAAACGCAGCTGTGGATCAGTCTTTAAACAGTATTTTGATTAAATCGTTTTTCGGTTTTTTACTGGTTTTGATATTCTGAGGTTGGTGACTACTAACCTCTAGGTTACAAAGTTGTTTCGTTTTTATTTAGACAGAAAGGACAAAGTTCGTAGAGCTAAAAACTCAAATCAATTAACCCAAAAGCGTGTTTTGTAACAACGTTCACCCTATAGAATCTGAGCTAAAATGTTCAATTTATTTGTGATTTACTTTATACATAATTTATACTTACATACTTTTCTATAGGTGAATGTTCTTAGGTTTTTTTTCGTTAAACTTTTGAATATTGAATGGTGTGTAGCGGCATTTGAAACACAGTACAGTAGACGTGTGAGCAAAGTTATTCGATGAGTAGAAGAGCCTGGCGAAGTTTGATTTGTTTTTTTGTTTTTTTTGTCGTAGTTCTTATGATAATGATGGTGATGATATTTTTTTAAATGCCTTTTTGTTAATTATTTTGCTTGTTGCTGATGCTCTTACTAGTACTGCTAATAATGTTGTTGTTGTTGTTGTTGTTGTTGTTGTTGTTGCTGCTGTTGTAGTTGTCTGCGTTGTCTACGTTGTCTCAGAGTACACACTGTTATGGTAGAAAAGCAGAACACTGTGGGGATACAGGTATTCTAGTAATGCATTGAGTCTTTAGATAATAGTAGTTCTATTTATGATAATATGCTTCTATTTTTTATACAATGTGGGACCAAATGTTATAGTGCACCCGTGTGATAGTTTTTGTGCGTGTGTGTGTGTGTGTGTGTGT